ATAACTTACTTCCTGTCAGCTCCACTTTAGGAAGCCCTGAGACCAAACCAGTCACCGTTTCTCTTCAGTTAAAGTCTACATGTAATAGCACAAGTACCTTTTCCCGAGAAACCAGTCGAGTTGAGGGAATGTCGTTGTATTTAAAAGCAATTCCCGTCTCTCACTCTTGCCCTGCTTAAGCGATGACATAAAATAATTCTTTGAGCATTGAAAAAAGAAGGAAGAGCTCTCTACTAAAAAATTCAAAAGCCATGCTAAAAAAAGCTCATTTCAGTTGCACTACTGTAAAACCTAAGGAAGTGCGTAGCACGGTCACGCAGTGGTTCCAGATTGCAGAGTCGCTACGGGCCCGTTCACAAAACTGTCGAAGATTTGAATGTTAGTGGTAAGCATATAGGATTTCCCCGGCACGAGTCGCATCTTCTTAGAGACAAGTTTGAGAACTCGGCATGCATTATGCGCAATACTTTTTGACGCTCTTTACCGACTTCCAGTGAGTTACGGCAGTCGAAATCACCGGCGTAGCCAAGAGAGGAAGGGTGTTTGGGGGTTCAAACATTCCCAACAATTTTAAGTTTTGTTTGCCCCTATACACACGCACACATTCAAACAGACGCACGAACATACACGAAGTATGGTTGAATGCCCCCACGGAAAAAAAAAAATCATGACTACGCTGCTGCTTCAGATACGTGTGGTCCACTGCTAGTTACGTCAGCTTGTTTGTCCCTTGAGATGTAGCCACGAAACGGCGGTGAGGTGCCGGTGGGAGGAGCGATCAGGAACTCTCCGAGACAGTGGCACCCTCTATCGCGTGCGCAGCGGTCAACGGAATTTGCTCCAAGCATTTTTGGTGATTATAAGTTAGTTGTTGCGATGAACTATTCAAAACCGCTGCTTAATAAATTATCGTATACCTTGCTCGTCCATTTTAATCTGATTTCGAGCATTGCTAGCCGCGTATCAAGCTTATATGGAGCCTTTGATTTTCAGTGTGACCACGCTACTTGACATCTATGCATGAACGTCCAGATGGCCTCTCAAACAGCTACGCGCTTTGATATATTAGGACGGCGTAGGCTGTATCCTGCGAGAGCATTTAAGGGTGCACATTTTGGTTGTTGTATACACATACTGCATCTTTATTGCATACAATATAGTTTCGTTGACGTAGTTTTTGTTAACTGACGTAACACAGACAACCTGTGCGCAGAAACTTTATTAGGCAACGTCTTGGCACTTTCTACTTTGAACTCTGTACATTGTACAGAGTAATCAGTAAATGCATCGCACTTATCATGCATCGCATGATAATTGCGATGCATTAACTGATTGTAAATGAAATGGTGAAAAAAATAGGGCAAAAGGGCTTTAAAATTCCGAGAAGCATCAAATGAATAAGCTTAAATTGGCGAGAGCTTTCGTTTCAGTGGACTTGTGCGCAACCTTTTGTGATTAGTTTGTTCTACTGAGGCGATGCATTTTCCAGGAACTGCCTCAAAAGTTTCCTAATGAGAGCATATTCGGTGTTCACGCGCACTTGAGTGCACCAATTTTTGAAATTAAACTTTTCCTACGGCTTATTCCCGTCATGAAAGCCGGCCGGCTGTAAATCAAAATTGGCGGAACGTGTTTATCGCTAAATACGCTCATTCAAAGAACTTCGCACTAGCGAACCAGTGTTTTGCGATTGATGCATCATTAGGAATTACGACGGCACTTTTTTTTTCACACGGAGCACTTCCGAAGTAGACAACTTCGATTATTTGCATCCCAGACTACATCTCGCATTCTGAGTCACGCTTTGGTGAATGAGATTTTTTCTTTATTTTTTTTTTCGGAGCGTCTCTAAAATTGCTTTCCGAAGCGAAGTACACGCGATGAAGGGTTCTGCAGCGTAATTGCTATCTGATTTAAAAACTCATGCAGACACTGCAAGAACTAAAGCAGAAAAAAAAAAAATAAGTGCACGAGTATATTCTTGTTTTGTTTTTTTTTAATGGGGAGGGGGGTTCCGAGTGCTCTCAGCTTCCCAAATGCGTCAGGGTGGAACGAGTTTGCTCTGCGCATTCCTGTGCTGCCCGAACTGCTGAAAAGCAAGACGGCCGCCGTGAACTCGTGATGATCGCCCGCTCTTAAAAGGCGAACTGTTAATTAGTATTCGAGCATTCAAACTGCAGCTGGACTTAGTCCTAGACTCCCGAAAATTGTTCGATAGCTTGGATGACGTGTCAGTAAAAACGCATACCGTTCGTATTTTTCTAGTCATCCAATAGACGAGCATTTCTTATCACATACAAGATTAGTCACCATCGGCTGTATTGAACGATGGTGATGACGTAAGTAACTAATAGGAGGAGGAGGAAGCAACAAAAAGGGAGGAGGCAGGGAGGTTAACCAGAAAGACATCCGGTTGGCTACCCTACACTGGGGGATTAGGGAAGGGGACAAGAAACACGAGAAAGAGGGAAGAGAGGGAAAAGACAAAAAGGGGGTGGGGGAGAGACTGACAGTAATTTCACTGCAGCGTGTAGAACTCTACCGCATGTCAGAGGCGTTCACACAAGCCTGTCTTACTCAGGAAACACAGCAGGGCTTTCACTGCCTTGTGGGCTGTCGAGGCATGTGGACGTTGCTGTAATAGCACCTGCACAGAAAGAGGCCGATCATCCAGTCGGCGCATTGCGTTGGCAAGTAGTAGTCTATCTGAGGCAAATCGAGGACAATGGCACAGCAGGTGTTCGATATTTTCGTCGGTGCCGCAAACATCGCACGCCGCACTGTCAGTATTTCCGATTAACGTGGTATAAGCTTTCGTGAAAGCAACTCCCAGCCAAAGGCGATAGAGAAGCGAAGCTGCACGTCGATGTAGGCCGGGTGGAGGCCGGAGTTGTAGTGAAGGGTCGGGCTCGTGCAGTCTTGTACGTCGTATGCTTGGTGCGTTCCACTCAGTCAGTGTAAGACTGCGGGCCAGTTGACGAATCTGCCTCGCCGCATCCGCTCTTAAAAGCGGAATCGGAACGCTGTTTGCTTCTTTATGTGACGTGCGTGCAGCATGATCTGCAGAATCATTGCCTATATCACAATGCCCAGGTAACCACTGAAAGACGATGTCATTATTAGGCTGCAAAAAGAAGAAATAGCTAGAATGTACAGTCGAGTCCAGCAATCGGTCAGTCCATGTGCTTTGCGCAACAAATAAAGAAGATTGGAAACAAGGGTGGGGAGTGGGGGTGGGGGTAATATGGAGGGACGATAAAAAAAGGACAAATGCCCAAACTTAGGCGACATGTGTAGGGGGCACGCCATCCGCGGCCAGTCATGCTACAGTCACGGCTGCGAAGTGGCTATACGTAATAGAAGTAGTTTAAAAATCAAGCGACAATTATCATATTGTCTTTCTAATCAGCACGCTGCGGCGTGTGGAGACAAGATATGGTAAATTTGTGACCCTCTCTCTTCTCTTTTGATTTTTTTTTTTTTGCTTTTGGGCAGCCGCCACTTTCAGCTCTCGCTGCACAGAACAGTATTGGAACAGTTCGCTGCAAGAGACCACTAGATTTACCGCTGTCACCCTGTCGTAAAAGCCACACTGGCAACTTTTACAAGTTTGGTGACATTCATATTGCGACAAATTTTAATAATAATAAAAAAATTAAAGCAGCTAAGCACTAGAAATGCCAAGCATGAAAGAAGTGCCGAACCGGGTGCACTGCCGTCTTCTTCTTCTTCTTCTTCTTCTTCTTCTTCTTCTTCTTCTTCTTCTTCTTCTTCTTCTTCTTCTTCTTCTTCTTCTTCTTCTTCTTAGTTAAGAGAATTTTTTTCAGTGTTTATTCGCAATTATATTTCTAGTTACTGTTCTCTTCGTCTCTTTCTTTCTCTGAGTTAATCTCCTTTTCATCTATTCGTATTTTTGTGTTTTTCCCCCGTTCATTCTTTCGTCTTCTCACTCTTTCTGTATTTCTTTCTATATATTCCCTTTCCTTGTGACGACCCCACACACTCTCTCTCTATTTATCACTTCCTCTTTGCTTTCAGTCTCTTTCTTTCTACTTCCGTCTCCCTCTTCATTTGATTTTGAGTCTTTTCCTGTCTTGCTCTCTTTTTCTTTCTATATATATATACATCACTCTCGATCTCTTTCTTCATTTTTGTCTTTGAATCTTTTTTGTCTTCCTTTACTTTCTTTGTATCCCCTTCTTTTTCTTTCTTTCTGCCCCCGTTCTCTCGTCTATCACAGATATTCGGTCCAGTTGGGAACATATCAGCGTAGGTGTTCTGGGATCGAAGTTGGCGACGAAGAAGAGGACAAAGAGATAGCGCGCCGTTTCATGATGATGATGTTGTTTTGTCCGTTCTGCGCGAACTTTAAGAGCTCCGCTGTTTAAAAAAAAACTGATGCGTTTCATATCATCATTTTTTTCCGACCCTCGCTATCATTCCCAGAATGCCGCCCATAAAATTAACGCCACACGCAATTTATTCACGCGCACGAAAGGCGTTTATTACGGTGCACGCACCCGATGCCGCTTGGCTAACAAAAGCAGTTCACCGTTCGGGGGTGTAGCTCAGAGGTAGAGCGCTCGCTTTGCATGCGAGAAGTCCCGGGTTCGAACCCCGGCTCCTCCACAAGATACTCTTTTTTGCTTTTGTTTATTCAGTGAATTTTTATAAAGTAACGGCCGTGTGCTTCTTACTCAGTGCTTGGCGGTAACCTAGCAAGTAGGACGGACAGAGAGCACGAGTTAACGACAGATGATCGGGAAAGGGAAAGGAGGTTAACCAGACGCACGTTGGGTTTGCTACCCTGCACTGGGGAAAATGATAAAAAGAGGAGTGAAAGGACATCGTCTCACACTAACGTACCGCGTGTCTGCCTTCGGTGACTTCGCGACATGGGAGAGTGTTCGTATACATGACCGTGAGGAGGCACAGCCGGAGGTGAGGCACAACTGAAGCACACAGCAAGTATATAACGTGTTTTGTTCAACGCTACTCACCCAGGGTGAGCCTCTCTCCGGTGTCGGGGGGCAGCGTGAAACCGAGCAGAGTCATGGACGAGATGAGCACGCAGGGAATGATGAGGTTGAAGCCGTAGTAGAGCGTGCGCCGCCGGATGTGGATGGTGTACGTGATGTCGATGTACGGCTCCGGGCAGCAGGCATACTCGCGAACGTTGCGCACTCCCGGCACGCCTGCGCAGTGAGCATCGAACAGAGGCTGTGTTCCGATTCTCAGACAGCACGTAGACAGTCTACGCAGACCGCTCAGAAGACAGCACCATGCTGTCCGAGAAATGAAACACGTTTAGACGGCTGGATAGATGGATGTATGTGGCTGTACCCTTCAGATCGGGCGGTGGCTAACGCCACCTAGCCGTAATACTTTGTGAACTAACCACAAGATTTATCTTTTTTCCCCTTTAAATAGTAAAGTTAAACGGGTACTTTGCAGTGAATGGTTTAGTTTTCACTCGTGCCTTGACGTTAGCCACCAATCAGATAACCTCCTTCTAGTTAATTCTACCCGCTTGAAGTCTATTTTGCCCTCCCGGTCCCTAAACCCCAGTGCTCTGAAAAACTCTGCGCCATCATCCTGAACTATAGGGTGACGCCCGGCTTTCAAGCGACAATGCGCCACCTCGCGTCGAAAAGAAAAAGCTAAAACAAACAAACGTAACAGTTGTAATTTCTGGCTTATTGCGTGTCGAAATCACAAACAAATAAACGTTACTCACATTGAGCGTCTGGGAAAGCGTTAGGTTGTGTGCAGACGACCATTCTGGTGTTATCCAATCTATCTGAGCGATTCGCTGAGCCTCCATCTTGTTTAGACAGCAAAGTAACCTGCATCGTATTGGTCTACGATGCGGTCTTCTCGGAGCTGTCTACTTTGCCGGCTACGTGAAAGTTGGAAGGGGACTTAAGATGGCCGCCGCCCATTTAGCTGTCTATTCAGCCGTCTACGGTGAGTATTGGAGCCCAGCCAGAGGATGACGTATCTCGAAAGACCCTTTACAGAAACTCAATTCTTTGGACAAGCGACCTCCATCAATTGCAAAATTCTTGGGTCCATGGCCAAAAGGAAAGCTACAAGCCACTGCAGCGCGTGCAGTCGTTCACTTTCTGATGGAACCAGAAATAGCTCAAAAGTACTAAACAAAAAGCAAGTGTACTTCACTGTTAACCGCGGTATGTTCCAAAACAGTATTTTCGTGTTTCACTTCGATATTTTCGGGAAAACCTTTCTGAAAACAGTTCAGTATTTAAGCGACAAGATCACCTTAGAGATTTTATTGAACTTTCATGTTTTGTGGGAACACTTAAATTGGCGTGATTACTTGTGTTTTCACAAACTCTCTGTGGTGTGGACACATTTCTGTGTGGTGTGGACACTCAGTATTGAAAATGTGGACTCATTGTGTAAGCGTAGTGCTATGTACATATGTATAGCCTTGTGTTTGCTACAAAATATGCGATGTCGACTTTTGTGCAAGAGAAGAGGAGTAGCCGGCGCCACGCATTGGCACCAGCTTCTCCTTATGTACATTTATTTAAAAAAAAGAAATCAACCTTCATCGATAGCATCATCCTTGCAGCGAGAAGATGTCTTGTAAGCCTGAAAACGGGGTAAAGTGGTGGTAACTCATAACTGAGAAGCTGAGCACACCTCAACCGATACACTCGTAGGGGAACGAGGATTGAAGGCGGAAAATTCGATTATAAAGGAGGAGTATCACTGCTGTACAGGTTTCACTGCAGTTTTGGTAATGAAAAAATATGAAGAAAGAAAGAAAAAAGAAAAGAAAGAAAGTAAGAAAGAAGAAAGAAAGAAAGAAAGAAAAAAGAAAGAAAGAGAGAAAGGAAGAAGGAAGGAAGGAAGAAAGAAAGACTGCCTCACACAATGAGAAGCTGACAAACTTCGCAAAAGAAAAAAGCGTTTGTTAAAGCAACAGCCATTACCCCGGGCATGACCGGAGGAACAAGTCGGCGGTGAGCGCATCGGCACGTTGGACTACATAACTCCACATCGTGAAGGAACGAATGTTTGGTGGCGTTTAAAGTACTACGCCAGACTCGTGTGGAAACCATTCCACGAGGAACTAGCGAAGCGGAGCGATCCAAGTCCTTCCCAGGGAACGAAAAGGTTTAACTTCGAAGTAAACAAAGAAAGACGAAGAGAAATAACAAAGCACGAAAAATGCTGAACAAGTCAGTTAACAACGCACGAGCCTCCGGAAGACGGCTTCGACGTTCGGCAATCTTTATTTCGCCGATTTTTTTTTTTTTGTTTCCAGAGGGCGCTTGTTGCGTTAAGCCGAGGGAAAAGGATGAAGGAAAAGGGGAGAAAAAAAAAAAAAAACCACGAGTGCATCCCGGCGAGACGCAGGTTCCTAGAATAATTCTCTTCCACAAAGTGGGGCCAAACGGTGGTAGGAGGTGAAGGAAGGACCGGCGCTTCTGAAGCACGGCGTCGTCACAGGCTCTGAGCGCGGTGGCCGCGAAGATCTCGAGTCGGTGCGTCGACGGCGCTGCGGCGGCACAAATTGGATTTCCTGCGCCGCGGGCCTCCGTCGGCGTACTCGCGAACACGCTTCGCTATGAATATATTGGCCGCGTCGCGCTCTTGCGATTGCTGCGGTCGGATAACACGAGCACGGGATCACACGTGCGTGATCGGTGAAGAGAAGGCGACCGCCGCAGTCACTCGCACAGGAACGCTTATAAGTTAGTGCGCGAGTAACTGCGAAGTAGGGTTAAGGTATGAAGTTCGAATCAAGCTTCGGAAGATAAAGTCGATGCGATACCTAGCAGAGCCGCGCAAGCGTTTGTGGGATATGTGCTTATGCTTGACTCTGCGACTTGGTCCCTGGGCTCGCCCACCTGGCAAACGTCGGAAAACAAAGTTTCGTAAGTCTCTGCAGATAGGACATCTTCAGTGTTCACTGAAGTGCTTATGCAAGTAGGTGAGGGGATACTGCGAGAGCATCTCTGTCGCGTGTAAGAAAATTTAAACGTGGTTAAAGGTAAGTACTTGAGCTGCATATCCTAAGACGCTGTTTCATAGTTAATGCGGTACTATGCACAAGCAAAAACGCAGCTATGTTACTACTACAATCGAACGCCTCACTTCGATAGGTCAGTATAAAATCTTGAAGCTATAGAAGCTATCCTGGTCGGAAGATCCTCTGTAACTCAGTGAACTATTCCCGAATACTCGGGGATGTCTGACGAACGGAGCGAATAGCTGGTGTAAATCTCGAATTACGGGAAGCGCTTTAGAAGTTGTTCCTAGTATTTAAAAAATATATATAGCTGGTGCACGTACCTTTATGCACGACCATGGTGTGTGCCTGACTGATAACGCTGAAGCCAGTGGCGTAAGCAGCTTTTTTTTTTTTTGTTTTGGGCTCAGAGTAGTTCTACTACTGTTTATGTATGTTAGTGGGTGCGTTTGTATGTTTGCCTGCTTATATGTAAAACTGAAGGAGGGAGGAAGGGGGTATCTGAATTTTCCCATCCATCCACCCTCTTGCAACGCCAATGCCTGAAACACGTCTCCTTTAGAATACCATCAAGTATATTCTTCAGGTCTTCGAGAACGTGAAGGAAAAATTCTTATCACGTGTAATTCAAATCTGGTAGTCTACAGCTGTCAGTGTATTGTAATAATGAGTAAGCACAGAAAAAAAAAGAAAAAAATGTTCCTCCTTTTTTTCATGTAAGCGCAGTCGTGACGTGTAGCAAAACTTAGACGTTCAATAAAGGTTTACTTTAAAGAGTGTCATCAGCATGCTCTCCAGGTTAAGTGGCCTGTCTATGCAGTGAATTCCGGTCAAGCATGCTATAATGCAGCGCGATGACGTCACGTATTGAAAAGTAGGAGAAGGAAGAGGCAGCGACCACCGATATCGCGGCGGATGTGGTTTTTCTTTTTTTTTTTCCTGTTTTCTCTTTTTCCGAGTTTTTTCTGCTTAGTAAAACTTGTTGCCGGATTAGTCGGTACATACTTACCGACATACAAAAGAACTCCAAACCACGAGAAGAAAGTCGAGAAAGAATTAAGCTGTTTTTAACACTTACCCGAACCTTGCCAAGCTTCTCGTTTTCTGTACCATCGCGTACCCCGGCGACACGTGACCCTCGTGCGGACACACGGCGGCACTCGAACACACGCTCTGGGAGTGTAAAAACACTCATCCCGACTCTACGTCGAACAAGTAAGAGATGTCCTTCAAAAGCTCACTTCTCACAGGGCCAACATTGGGCCGTCCAGCAGGACCGCGAAGAGGCCACCTCGTATTTCCTGTCGGTCTCTGCGTGAGAGACGGCCGCTACGCTCTATAAGCCCGTCCTGCTGGAGTTTTTAAGTTCTATTAAACGAAGTAAAGTAAAATAAAGTAAAGTAAATAGAGTAAAATAAACATAAAGTTTTGACGACCACCTAATGGAAACGTGAGAGGCCAAGCTCGTCCTCGAGGACCTTGAAGACCAGCGACAACTGGTCGCCAGGGCCAAGAGGGCAGTCAAAGCCAGAGCGTTCCTGGACTATAGGGAACCCTCCCACCTTAGGGTGCACGATACCGGACCTCGCTCGGAACACTGTTTTTAAATAAAGGTTTATTTCTCTCTCTCTCTCTTTCCATTCCATTAAAGATTCGTTGTGGCTCCAGCCATTTCTCGGTGGTTACGCGTCTTTCTTGTATTTCATTAGGCGTGCGTATATTCACGGCAGCAGTCGTTCGGTGAGAGTGAAAGCGCTCAGCATTAGCGTGCGTCTACGCGTGCGACTACTCCGATGATGGTGGGCCTCAAACCTCACAATGCAAAACAGGAGAAAAAACCATCAGTGGTCCCGTTGTAGACATAACGGCGGTGTCTTTCGTGTCCTTCTTGTCTCTGTGTCGTCGTTTTGTTCTCGCGCTATAACTATCGTTAGGGGCACGACCCTCGCGAGACGGAACCTCCCTGCGGAGGCCAGGTAAGCGTGAGAGTCGAAGAAAAGAGAGGAGAACCGTAGCGTTATCTAGAAATAAAAGGCACTCTGGTTGAGCACGCCGTGTGGCCTGACGTCGACCGAACTACGGGGAGAAGCTCCGAACCTCCAGGGAGCAACTGCCTCACCGGACGCGCGCTTTATTACTGTTAGCGCGCTGTTTATGCTGTCGCTTACGGCGCAATCAATCACGCAGCAT